TACTCAATTATTCTTGCCAATATTATGCACCAAGAGGAGTGGATATGATGCAAAGACTTGGGATTGATAGCTATTTGGAAAAATAAATATATCCCTTTTTTTTTTTCCCTCCTTCGAGCTATTTGTGGAACTCCTTTTGCTCGAAAGATTTCCTTCATTTTGATTTGCACCTAAACTTGGCACCATATTTGTGATATGAAAGTTAACCTCAGAAGTCTGCAGTGCTAATGAATACAATTGCATGTTTGGTATGCAATGCTGGATGGACTAGACAGAATAATAAACAATATGTTTGCTTATTTTTCCTCACTAATAATATTCAAAGCTAGCCTGAACAAACATGCTATAAGAGTTTAGATATATCAACACCAAGTAATTCAGACTGTAGCATGCTTCACGACTTTTGATTGTGATATGTACATTTTCTTTGTTTTTGGAATCGAATATCATAACTTCAATCTAATTTGGAGCATTTGCAACTGGTATGAAATTAGGCCAATCTCTTTTATAGTAAAAAAAAAATACATTTAAATAAATTATCTTTCAACTTTCTGACTCAAATAGTCATGTATCAGGATCTAGTGCTATGATACATTATTTTTTTTTCTTCCCAGCATCTTAATTCCTTATTAATGCTCTGAAACCTGTCTTATAAAGATGACAGTAAGCAAATCGTTCTGTCACAGATGATAATGAATGTAGACACCATATATATTCTAAGCATTTATTGAAGACCTATTTTTATGCATTGTGGTGAATAATAAAAATAAAAAATAAAAAAAATACCCTAAGAAGAAGCAACGCATGAGAATTTATTATACTTAAAAGAAAATTGGTCCTTCAATTGATATTATCAATAATTATTCACATAATTATTGACTTGGGATGATCTAAATTGGTCATCAATATTCAAATTAGTCTCTAAATTTTCAATAAAATCATTTATCTTATAAGGTTTGTTGGATTAATTTGTCAAGAAAAAAGGTTGACGGCCAATTTGCTACAATACCCATAAGTTGAGGACTTCTAAATTAATTTGCTACAAATAAAACTTTCCTCCAATTGATGCTATTTATGTTATAAAAAAAAATTAAAAAAAAAAAAAACTATATGCTTTAACAGCATAGCAGACTCGTTACCACGACAAAACCGGGATCTTGGGTATGGCTCATTCTTGATTTGGCGGTAACACCTTGCTGGTTCTATAAAAAAAAATGTCAAAAACATGACACATCGATAAAAAAACACACAAGAGACGTGAATGGATCTGTGTTTCGAGACTTCTTCCCACTGAGATGATTATGAAGTTGTCTCAAATTGGAAAATGAAAACAAAAGGATGGCAAATGTTAGTTATATAGGTTGGGCTGACCGAGGGAAGGAAGGTGGAGCGAGCTATTGTTATACATAAAGTTGTGGTTGATTTTAAAATAGAACTCGATATTCTTCAAGATTATTGATATAATAATATATAAAATCATACTCCTTCCGGATCAATAACACATGTTGAATTAAGGAATACTCTCTGTGAACTTTGCGTGCTGCTTACAAGGCATAAGAGATACAAAAGGGGATCAAAAGCACAAAAGGCTAGCACCAAGCACAGGCAAGCCATCCCCCATCTAGACTGAATAAAAACTGTTATTATGATACAAGTAGGCAAATGTTCAAGTGTGACTTTGAAGCCAATGAATCTTTGCACATAAACTAATGAATAAAATGTGATCCTATATTGGAATCAGTTATAAATTAACCGATAAGTTGTCATCTCATTTTTTTTCCTAAATGACTGAATTGCCCCCAAAGCTCTCAAGGAAGTCTATAAATACTCTCGTATAAGAGAAAGAAACTATACAAATTCAAATAGCTCTAGTACAAATAGTCATTTTCCCTCTTACTCCTATTTGAGTTTCAAAAGCAAAAAGTTTAAGAGGAAAAAATCCTGACTATGTGAGTGAAATTTATTAATCTGATTTTTATCGTCAACAACACATATTTTATCGGAATATCGATTATGAATTGATACTTCTTTAAGAGTAATGATATAATATTCTTCAAAAATATTTTTTTTATACAGTAATAAAATACATATCATTATTCGATATAGTCAAAACAATATAATAAAACGAATAACATTTATCGAATTTGTTGTTACGTAAATAAAATTAAGAGAATACCCACAATTTCTTTTAAACGGGAAAGAATAATTTATTTCTAATTTAATTGACTAGAATTTTGTATTTATCTTCGAACATAAAGCTTAATCACTTTTGCTAACAATGCTGGTGACATTTTATACCGAGAAAGTTATAAAATTAAGAGAAAATAGAGAGCATATAAGAGGATTAGAATGAGGCGAAACTCCTATGTATTTTATTAAAAATTAAAGCCTTATATTATATAATTGTTATTCAAAAATATATTTAATTTTGTAGCAATATTTAATTTTATTTGTTTGTAACAAAAATAAATAAATAAAAGAGTAAAATGAGAGCCAGACGGGCCAATTGGGTTCTATGGCCTCTGCAGCAAGAGGAATTGGGCCGGCTCTGCGTGCATCACGGGTAGCCCTAACTGGCCCAACACTGCAATCCAATTCAATTTATCGTCACGTTTCCGTATCTGGATTACACCCTTCAACACTCCCTCTTCATTTTTCCTGTTCTTCTCTGAAATTGAATTATTTCATTATTTGTGGTTTGAGCCTCGTGATCGAGTCGAATTGAATCAAATCAAATCCATCGCTCTCGTATCTCTTTGGATTCGAAATTGCATTTTCAACTTTTTATATACTGAAATTCGTACCCCAAATTCCACTATTTCCTCCCTCCTGCAAATCCCTGCACAAAAAATTGAGGCCATTCCGCAAACCCTCCTTTTTTTGTAACTTATTATCCCAGACTTCCCAGAGGTACAGTATTTTAGCACATGATTCAACTTTTTTTCATGGTACAATCTTTTCGATGAGTTGTATGTGTTTGGGGTTTTAGGGTTTTTTTTTATTATTATTTTGGGTTTGGATTGAATTTTCTTCAAGATATTAGTTTAATTTTTCTGGGTTTTGTTTAGTTAGTTTAAGTCTATTTTTTACCTTCAACGTGAATGTTGTATTCTGTGTCCGTATGTGTATTGCGTTGGGATTTAAAATTTTGGATTCCCATTTTGTAGACATTTTAAATAATTTGCAGTAACTTGAAGGGGTAATGCTGAGGAAACTTTAGATGGGGCTATTGTATTAAGTTATATATTTGGAATTATATTTAAGTCATTGCTCTTTAATGTATGCTACTCTTTCGTTCTTTCTTTTGAGACCATGGTAATGGTTTTTACTCAATTATTCTTGCCAATATTATGCACCAAGAGGAGTGGATATGATGCAAAGACTTGGGATTGATAGCTATTTGGAAAAATAAATATATCCCTTTTTTTTTTTCCCTCCTTCGAGCTATTTGTGGAACTCCTTTTGCTCGAAAGATTTCCTTCATTTTGATTTGCACCTAAACTTGGCACCATATTTGTGATATGAAAGTTAACCTCAGAAGTCTGCAGTGCTAATGAATACAATTGCATGTTTGGTATGCAATGCTGGATGGACTAGACAGAATAATAAACAATATGTTTGCTTATTTTTCCTCACTAATAATATTCATTTTTCATGGTACAATCTTTTCGATGAGTTGTATGTGTTTGGGGTTTTAGGGTTTTTTTTTATTATTATTTTGGGTTTGGATTGAATTTTCTTCAAGATATTAGTTTAATTTTTCTGGGTTTTGTTTAGTTAGTTTAAGTCTATTTTTTACCTTCAACGTGAATGTTGTATTCTGTGTCCGTATGTGTATTGCGTTGGGATTTAAAATTTTGGATTCCCATTTTGTAGACATTTTAAATAATTTGCAGTAACTTGAAGGGGTAATGCTGAGGAAACTTTAGATGGGGCTATTGTATTAAGTTATATATTTGGAATTATATTTAAGTCATTGCTCTTTAATGTATGCTACTCTTTCGTTCTTTCTTTTGAGACCATGGTAATGGTTTTTACTCAATTATTCTTGCCAGTATTATGCACCAAGAGGAGTGGATATGATGCAAAGACTTGGGATTGATAGCTATTTGGAAAAATAAATATATCCCTTTTTTTTTCCCTCCTTCGAGCTATTTGTGGAACTCCTTTTGCTCGAAAGATTTCCTTCATTTTGATTTGCACCTAAACTTGGCACCATATTTGTGATATGAAAGTTAACCTCGGAAGTCTGCAGTGCTAATGAATACAATTGCATGTTTGGTATGCAATGCTGGATGGACTAGACAGAATAATAAACAATATGTTTGCTTATTTTTCCTCACTAATAATATTCAAAGCTAGCCTGAACAAACATGCTATAAGAGTTTAGATATATCAACACCAAGTAATTCAGACTGTAGCATGCTTCACGACTTTTGATTGTGATATGTACATTTTCTTTGTGTTTGATGTGAATCAATCGTGTACTGTGTGTTTGTTTTGATGAACAGCGACTTAAACCATGGTTGAGAAGAAAGTTATCGCTATTTGTCAGTCAGGCGGTGAATTTGAGACAGATACAGATGGTGTACTTTCATACAAAGGTGGTGATGCTCATGCTATGGAAATTGATGGTCAAATGAAGTTTAAAGATTTCAAGTTGGAGGTAGCAGAGATGTTCAACTGCAATCTCAGTACTATGTGCATCAAATATTTTCTTCCAGCAAACAAGAAGACACTTATCTCCATCACCAATGACAAAGACCTCAAGCGCATGATTAAATTCTATGGTAACTCTGACACTGCAGAGATATATGTTGTGAATGAAGAAATTGTTGCTCCTGATGTCTCCAACATGCCTGGTAGTAGGTAGTTCTCTTGCTATTTAGTAGTAAAAAGATTGTTTTCTTCTGTGGATGATCCATTTATGGACATTTTAACTTGCAGGTCTAGTAGGACAACTTTGTCAGAGGCCCCTCCTGCTGATGCTTCCCCAGATATGTAGTGGGCACAACAAATCAAGCTGTAAAGAGTTTTTGCTGGAATGATAAACTATGTGAGTATACTTTATGAAGTTTTTGTCAGCATTGTTTACATTTATCAATTTAACATCCTTTAACATACCAGATGAATTCCATTCAGTAGCACACTGTATTGAACAGATTATAAAAGGAGAGAAAAAATCTGTGCATCTATACTTCCGTTACTGTTGTTTCATAATATTAACATGTGCATGATCTATGTAGATCTTCCATCATTGCTTTCTTGGAAACATCCTGCTCCTACACTAATATAGATATTTCGGCTAGTATTAGTCTGTCTGTTAGAATTACATTTGGCACATTGATTAGTCTGCCTATCATTTCAATATTTACATGCTTATATGCTTATCTAGATTACATTTTTCACAAGCCATTGGTATTTTCCCTGTTATCCAACAATATTACTGATGAGTTTTATGTTTATACAAATACCATTTGTCTGTAGTGGGTAGCCTACCATATTTTTATTTACATTGACAGTCAAGTGGTTCAGATTGAGGCTTTCTCCCTATCCTATGGAGCACAAGCACTCCTAGACACACTCTATGACATATGTCCGACAAGCCACATGACATGACCTACTCTTTAAATTTTGACGCTTGAGGGGATTTTAGGGACACTTGTTGGGCATCAGACATGCCATATGTCGACCTATATTAAAAAGTATAAAAATGAGAACATAATATATTCATATAAAATTTTAGAGAATCTAAATTAATGCGTCTCCCACTTGACCATGTTCTAACTTTTTTTTTTTAAAATTTATGTGTTGTTGTGTAATGTACGTGCTTTTTAGATCCTAGCATTTATAGAGTTTATGCACGTTATTCTGTTGTTGTGAACGGAGTATCTCAATGCACCATAGTTCCTTTGGCTTCCAGAATCTTCTCTTGATTTATTATTTATCCTTTACATTAGTCATTTCATCATAAGTTGAGGGGCTATTGTAATGCATATACTTGTCTGTGCAAAACTTATCGCTTTTAAAGGATGAGAAAAGAGAATGAGATCTTTATTTCTAACTAAGTAAATAAATAAATGGACCATACATCAGATTCCTTGTTCCCGTGTTATTAAAAAAACCTAATTAAAACTTGCCTTGGATTGAGGCGTGCAAAAAATTTCTCTGAGGTAGTTGAAAAAAACATAAAGGCTCTGACCATGGAGCAGATTTTTGAGGCGTATGGACCTACACACCTTCGTCAATTGTCAAATACATCATGTAGTGTGACGATTGTTTCCCTAATTTTTTGCCACCGAACACATCAGGGATATGCCTCTAAAGCGTTGTGATTATTTGTAGATAATGGGGAAAAGAAGATAAACTTACCTAGGGGGTGTTTGAGCCACATTATTTTGGTAATAATGCATTCTTGAATAGTGTATTGATGGGAAATGTGTGGTTAAAAAATAAGAAAAAGTTTTTGATTTGCGTGTAATATTATTTTATTGAAGAATGTGTGGTTGAAATGATGTCAAATCACTGTTTAAGAATGCATTTTTTTAAAATAATGTGGCTCAAACAGGCTCCTAGTTTATTATCGTCTTCCTCTTTTTGATAGCTAAATTGCAAGCCTGTGATATCCTGGTTGTCCGTGGGTATCGGCGGTGTTCGGCTCTTTTCATTTTATCAACTTGAACGGCAATAAGGGCGAAAGAAACCATAGTTGAAGAGTCAAACAAAGTTCCTTATTTCTATTCTAAAGTAACACATGCTTTTTCTCTCTTATTAAATATGTGATTTATTAGGGGAAACCTTAGTTGACTTGCCTTTATTAAGAAGCAAAGCAACATATTTATTAGAGAGGTTACTTTTCTATTTTCAGAAGACAGACACGCCTTATTAAATATCAATCAGTTGGGATGGAAAAACTAATTTAACCATTTTTTTTTGAAAGATTGTAACTTTCCTTTTTAACCAATAAAAGATTAAGCCCCTGTTTTGTGGGAATTGAAATCAGATTTTTAGTAGACTTTCATAAAAATTGATGAAATGTGTAGATGAAAAGCTGTGGTTTCATGAAAAGTGTAACTAAAATTAATTGTTGATTTTGACTTAGATTAAAATCTAGTCCTTCATGCACTAAAAAATTAAGAAATTATGTTTCTCAAAGATTGGCTTTGAGAATAGTCTACAATCCTCATTAACTAATAATAGTTTCTATATAAATTCTTGTTTTTTTTTTGTTTTCACTTTTTAAATTATTATATTTTGAAGATTGTTTATATGTATCATAAGCTAATTTTTCATTTTAATAAATTTTTGACCTTTGTTGGTTTATTTCGAGGCTTATGACCAAAATGCCTTGCCTTAGGAAGGAAAAACGCCTCATTACTCGATTATGCCTTTTTGAACACAGGTTTTGGTGTTTGCCCCCATTAGATTAGCTAGAGATATTGTTTTACGTTCACTTCAATCTAACAATGTATATGTAATGGCTTGCTGGGTTCTGATCAACTTTTATTATGTTTTTATTTAATGGTATGGTGCTGTTTAACAATTTAATCCGTTTTCTCTTTTGTCCCCAGGATTTGCTCAAATGTTGAATCGACATTATTCGACCGGCCATATTGTCTGATGTGTTTGATTGAAGTATCACCCTTGTTTATCATCCCTTTTATCACTTATCTGACTTTCAGGTACTTTGTAGTTAAAATGTTGATAATGGAAGAAGTCATTATATGGATGATCGAATGCTATTTGACAACAGCGTCTTTTCAGACATGTTCTTTAGTTCTTAGAGAGCCGATGGTATGTACATACTAACAAACCTCTGTTGCTACTTTCTTGCTTGTATGATGTAGAATTTACAAAACATGCGTGTGATTTTTTGTTGGTTGCTAATTCTGTTGTCAGCTGTTGGATAATTCCACTCTAGGACAGATGATCTTTTTAGGTATTATTAAAGAAGAAAACGAAGCTAAAATTTAGTCGAGTACTCTGTATCAAAAATGCCCTCCTCCATTATTATCGTGTATTTTGTCTTGTATCCTATGTCATTAGGTGTTCTCGATTTTCCAAATATGAGGTAGTGTAGACTTATTTGCTCGTTGCTATCTTCACTTGAGCTAAATATTGGTTTGCTTGGATTGGTAATTGAGAGTAGGCTGTTGGTCACTTTTGGTCAATTGACACTGCCCTTAAGGGGTAGGAAAGCGATATTGAGTCCAAATCTTAGGTGCAAAATTGCATTTCGAATTTTGACCAAATTGGCGGTCAAAAACCGACTCGAGTTATTTTACGCTGTTTTGTGGTTAATCACTGAGGTGCAAAACTGCATTTGATTTTGAAGATTTGTATGTATATGAAGATGGAGAAAGAGAAGATTATCAAGTTGAGTGTGCAAAATTTAGAGTGCTTTTTGAGATTTCGTCTTGTATCCTATATCATTAGGTGTTCTCGATTTTCCGAATGTGAGGTAGTGTAGACTTATTTGCTCGTTGCTCACTTGAGTTAAAATTTTAATTTACTTGGATTGGTAATTGAGAGTAGGCTGTTGCTCACTTTTGGTCAATTGAGACTAATGTTTCCCATTTTTGTGAAAATGAGAATAAAAAGTATAGTCATTATGAGCTCCACAGAAGAGATGGAATTTCAAATTTAGTAGTTTGATGTGATGGATAACGCTCATATTTTTCATTTTAATGAGGAAAGAATGAGAAATAAATGAGGGCTAAAAATTAGGTGCAAAATGACATTTTGAAATTTTGACCGAATGTATCTCACCTTTGCTCAGAAGGATACAAGTTGCGGGAAAAAATATTTTTTTATTTTTTTTTTATTATTATTATTTTTTTTGACGGGAGACCCAGATTCTTTAATTATTTTTTTTTTTTAAATAATTAATGAAAGATTTGTTTTCACTTTTTTGCACAGAACATTTATGTATGGTAAATAGTCATTGACGATTTTTGAAGGGATTGAATGTGAGTAGGGATGGGAAAGGGTCAGATTTACTCCAACCGGAAAAAGTCGGTTTGGTTGAACGAGAAACTCAAATTTGAGACTTTTTCTAAAAAGCTTTAAATTCAATTTTATGAAGAGCTGAAATCTATATTTAATGAAACTTTTATATTCAGATATTACAAATGAATGGTGAGCGTGATTGGATCACAAATCTTTTAATGCTACAACCCAAATCAATTCAATGCAGTTGTTGAAACTGAATTGAACCAGAATAAATTGGTTTGATTTGATTAGTTGGTTTGGACGTTGGGTAGAGTTAAAAAAAAAAGGGGTAATTGGTACAAAACGTTCCTATCTTTCATGTCTATTGTGAAAAAAGTTTCTACCTTTCATTTTTTGACATTTTTACCCCTATTTTCACCTTTCTTGACGCTGAATGTTCTTTTCACCAATTTTGGGCAATTTACCCTTCATTCAAATAAAACAAGAAGAAAAGAAATGAAACAACAAATAGCAAATTGTAATCACAGCCCTTGATTTTTAAAAAATTACAAATCAATCACAAATATATACGAAATTTTCAACATAAGTGCCAACGACCATGGAACCCAATTTCTGGCCACCAAGGCCACTAGATTTTAACACCATCACCATTTTCTCATCAACCCTAACATCCCTATGCAAATTTCAGCCCCAAATTCCAACAAAATCGAGCTAAATTTTGCCCAAAAATTGCCTCTCACGCACAGTATTATTGCAAATTCGACCAAATTCATGGATATCCATATTCTATACAACCCACAAGCTACTCAATCTCACCAAGACGCATCTGTACATATTCCAATTACAGCAAACAATCCAAAAAATCGAAATCTACAGCCAATTTTCGAGTCAGTGAACTCGCGGTCGAAAAAGCCATTTTTCGACGATGATGGTGGGGCCCATGATCGCCGACCACCACCACAAAACACTACTCATCATGGCGCATCTACTGAGCATATGGGCCTTTCCAAATTTGGCATTGAAATGACTGTTCGTCCAGAAACAATGACATGCATAAAAATCAGTCAGATCCCCTTTCAATTGTCATCCCTCCACGACTCTAATCTACAAATTGTATCAATCAGCATGCAATTGAAGGTCAAACGATGCTGGATATGGATTTAATTGCTTCAATTCATCAGCCAAATGCAACAATTTTGGATTTGACCTCACGGAATATGCGACTGCCCTAAGAGGATAATTCTCCATCAATTCGTGAGTCTAATGTGTCCCAACATATGAATCAACCTGGGGAAACTCAAATTCAAGCCCAAAAAATATTGGGTAATCGTTTAATTTTAGAATTTATAGCACTCGTTTGCCAAATTTTGGAGTCAAATGGTGTTCTTCACACACTTGAAGAAGGAATAGAAACTGGATGTCGTTTGTAATTTTTTAAAAATTGGGGACTATGGTTGCAATTAGTTATATGTTATTTCCTTTCTTTTGTTTTTATTTTATTTAAATTGAGGGTAAAATTATCCAAAATTGGTGAAAATGATGTTCAACGTTAGGAAAGGTGGAAATAGAGGCAAAAATGTTAAAAAATAAAAGATATGTACGTTTTTCATAATAGACATAAAAGGTAAAAACGTTTTGTTCTAATTACCCTTAAAAAAAATTGCATACTTAGTTTGGATTAAAATTTTTGCTTGCCTATATATATATATAATAACTGTAAGTGTGAAAAAGAAAGAGAATGTCAATTAATAGAAGAAGATAATTTAAAAGAAATAGATTTTGAAATCCTAGATAATTTAGAAAACATAGACTTTGGAACTATAGAATTAATTGATAATCAAAAAATTTATGATATGTTGATAACAGAACAAGAAATAGAAAATTTAATCTCTAGATTAAAAAAGATGGAAATAATAGGAGAAAATGTTTTAAAATATTGGGAAAAAGACAAAATATTGTGTGAATTAAAAATTAAGAATCCAGAATATATAATTAAAACTAAGAGCATAGAAGCAACAAATCTAGATATAGAAGATTTTAAAATACATATAAAAGAACTTTTGGAACTATGAGTAATTAGAAAATCAAATAGTCCTCATAGATCAGCAGCTTTTATAGTTAGAAAACATTCAGAAATTGTTAGAGGAAAAAGTAGAATGGTTATTAATTATAAAAGATTTAATGATAATACTATAGATGATGCTTATAACATACCAGACAAGACAGTTTTAATAAATAAAATTCAAGACCGTAAAATTTTTAGTAAATTTGATTTAAAGTCAGGATTCTGGCAAGTAAAAATGCATCCAGAAAGTATTAAGTGGACAGCTTTTACCTGCCCAAAAGGACATTTTGAGTGGCTTGTAATGCCATTTGGAATTAAGAACGCACCAAGTATTTTCCAAAGAAAAATGGAAAGGTAAGTTTGTAATTGTATACATAGATGATATTTTAGTATTTAGTAAAAATAAACAAGAACATAGGGGACACTTACAAATAGTATTTTCAGAATTCATTAAACATGGTTTAATAATTAGTAAAAAGAAAATGATTTTATTTAAAGAATTTATAGATTTCTTAGGAGTTAATATAGGAGAAGGTAAAATTAAGCTACAACCTCATATTGCTAAGAAAGCTTTAGAATTTTCAGATAAATTAGAAGATTTAAAACAAATCCAAAAATTTTTAGGATTAGTAAATTATGCTAGACCATTTATAAAAGATTTAGGAAAAATAGCAGGACCTTTATATACAAAGACATCTCCTACAGGACAAAGATTTTTTAATCAAGAAGACATAAAATTAGTCCAACATATAAAAGAAAAAATAAAAACCTTACCAGAATTAGCTATGCCCTTAGATTCAGAATACTTAATTATAAAAACAGATGGAAGTATGATAGGATAGGGAGCTATATTAATATGCAAACCCAATAAATACACTGATAAAAGTACAGAAAGAATTTGTAGATACAATAGTGAAAATTATAATGAAAAAGGAAACTTAAGTAGCATAGATGCAGAATTATTAGCTATAAATTATGCATTAGATAGTTTTGAACTATTTATTATATCTAAGAAAGAAATAACTATAAGAACAGACTATGTAGCCATAGTTTCTTTTGTTAATAAAATGAAAATAGATTCAAAAAGAAGTAGCAAAAGAAGATGGTTAAATTTTATAGATAGGATTACAAATACAGGAATTAATATAAAATTTGAGCATATTAAAGGTAGTGATAATAAGGCAGCAGATATATTAAGCAGAATAATAATAGATAGAAATTATTAAATTTGTTTAACATAATTTTTTTATACAGATGACAAGGCCAAGGCCTATAAGACCAGGAATTCCACCTGGGAATTCATTTGCATCAAGATTATTACCACAGACTCCATTTAATCAGAACAGACCAATGTTACAAGACAGACTAAGGTTTGGAAACCAAGAACTCATAGTCTTTTCTAATAGTAATATTTCTTTTAAAATTTTATCTCACATTTCCTTATCTAAAGAAGAAAAATGTATCTTAAACAATTTGTGAATTTCTTATAATAAGAACCCAAAAGACCAAAAATATTTTCTTGCATGCATGAATGTATTGTCAGAACATTTTAGTCAGAACAAATAAAGGTTTAAGTTTTATGTTGTTATTAAAGGAAGAACTCCAAGAATTTTTCATTCTTGGATAGAAGTTTTAGATTGTATTAAAAAATTTTCAGATCCTCTTTACAAAGGTTTTACAAATTTTCAAGAAGCATTAGACGTTGCAAGACAACAGATAGGAATAAATTTTTATTTATCTCCTTCTCTGAAAAATTACTCAGATCCTCCATTAGACTTTTTTCCAAGCAAAGATCAGAACATTTTCTGCCAACATTGTGAATGTATGCAAAGAAATTATAAAGTTATAAATGAAGCCAATCAGAACCTTTCATTAGAAAGAACCCAACTCCAAAAGAAAGTGG